CCACTGCTGCCCCTAGTCCGTGCAGCCCACCCCTGCCCACTCACCACATGGGGCTGCAGGGATTCAATCCTACACACACACATACCCTGCCACACACCTCCCGCTCCAAACCCCAGGGCTGCAGCCTCTTTGAGTCCAGGGCCCAGCTTGGTGGTATGTGGGGTCTCTGGGTAACAGACATCTCCACTCTCCAAAGGCCACACACTGGGGAGTCCCCTTCAGGGCAGGCTGCTCAGGGTGGAACAGGCCAGGGGCCCTGCCCTCCTTGGAGAAAGCCAGTTCTTGGAGGCACTCTCTGCAGGACGGGGTCAGAGGGAATGGGCAGGTGGGGCAGGGGCCCTCTGGCCACCAGAGCCCTAATATTGGGCAGAAATGGGTAATGTGATGTCACCTCATTGCTGTGGGTGCATTTCAGGCAAGGCCCCCCTCACTGTCCCAGGAGGGATGACTCATCCCCATATCCATGAGCAACCCAGGGCCCAGAGGCCGAGTGCCCTGCCAAAGGTCCCTGACCACCCCACTGGGGCACAGGCAAGGACAAGGCCACAGCCCTACGGGGCAGAGTCCAGAGGAGCCACAGGCGGGGGTAACCGGGGTGCGGGGATCCAGAACACCTGTCCCCACGCACCCTACAGCTATGGGGATCCCAAGCAGTGGGTGGCCTTTCTGGGCACACCGTTCCTAAGTGGCGCTGAGGGGCAGCTGGAGCGCGTGGCACGCATCTACAAGCACCCCTTCTACAACCTCTACACGCTCGACTATGACGTGGCGCTGCTGGAGTTGGCTGGGCCTGTGCACCGAAGCCGCCTGGTTCGGCCCATCTGCCTGCCGGAGCCTGCACCCCGGCCCCCCAATGGGGCACGCTGTGTAATCACCGGCTGGGGCTCCGTGCGAGAGGGAGGTAGGCGAGTCCGATACTTGGAGCCAGGCCCCGCACCCTCGGGGGGCATCAGGAAGGCCTCCAGCCTGGTCCCTCACGGCCTACCGCCCGTCTCACCACAGGCTCCATGGCACGGCAACTGCAGAAGGCGGCTGTGCGCCTCCTCAGCGAGCAGGCCTGCCGCCGCTACTACCCCGTGCAGATCAGCAGCCGCATGCTGTGTGCCGGCTTCCCGCAGGGTGGCGTGGACAGCTGTTCGGTGAGCACAGTTTAACACTGAAAAGGGTGTTCTGCCGGGGGAAGGGCCCCATCCATCCGGGAGAGCACGTTCTGGTTGCTCTAAAGCCCACAGCCAGGACCCACTATTTGGTACAAACTTAAGCTGATCAAGCAGGGAACCTTTTCACCCTTAGATGTTTCAATGGACCACTGTTTATTGGGCATCCATGACGAGCCAGTTCCCTCCCCACATCCTCACTGCCGCCCTGCAGGCGAGGAATGGGAACAGGCTGCATGCAGTGTAAGGCCGTTCTACTAGGGAACCTGTGGCAGGTGCTCACAAATGTCTGCCAGACAGATGAATGGCTTGTCCTGGCATTAAGCCCATTTCCCAGATAGTAAAAGTGAGGCTCACAGGGCTACTCACTTGGGGTCACATGGGGAGCCCAGGAGACTCCTGTGGAGGCCAGCCACCCCAGGTGTGCAGATCGGGTCAGTCCTCTCTTGCCCGAGGGTTGCTATGGGAGGTGGAGGAAACTGGCCTGCTCTGAGCGCCTTTCCTCTCTCCTCCCCTCAGGGTGATGCTGGGGGACCTCTGGCCTGCAGGGAACCCTCTGGCCAGTGGGTGCTAACTGGGGTCACCAGCTGGGGCTATGGCTGCGGGCGACCTCACTTCCCAGGTGTCTATACCCGGGTGGCTGCTGTGAGAGGCTGGATCACACAGAACATCCAGGAGTGACCACCCCATGGCTGTCCAGGCCTGGGAGGACAAGGCAGTAGGAACCAACCAGCCACCGGTCCGAGAAGGGGAGTCCAGTCCAGACGGTGGGCGGGGAGTGCTGCGGGCAGTGGGAGTACAGTTTTACTGTGTCTTTTGTTCCAATAAAAAGCCCCTTGTCCCTAACTTACTGGCTCACACACTTGCACGTCACAGCAAGAACTACTTGCCTGCCCATGACCCAGGGCCTAAAGTTGGGATGAAAGGTGGGTGGGATGAGGTAGCAAGACCTCCCAGGAAGAGGGCTGCCATAACCCCAGCCTTTGGGGCTGGGGTTCAGCCTCATCTTCAGGGTTCCTTTGGTGTCATCCAGGGAACGGTAACAAGCGCCCAGGGGGGATATGTGGGGGGAGCAGAGCCTGAGGCTCAGTCCGGGCAGGGGACCCAGGTACCCCAGACACAGGCCTCCTCCAGGGAAGACACACAGGACTCTCCACCCCTCCCTCATCCATTTATTTGTCAGCCCACCCCGCAGGCCCACAGGAAGTCTACAGCTCGGGCATAAAGGTGACCCGGGCACACCAGGAAAGGTGCCACAGCGCTGCCAGCACTGTGGGAAATTCCAGGGTCCCCAAGTCCCCAGCTACACTCGCTGGCAGGTGGGAGGTCGGCCTGGCCAGGGGGAGGGGGACAAAATTCCAAGTGTCCCAGCACCAGTCTCATCCTCATAAACCACGGCAGGCAGCACGCACACGCTGGCCCCTGCCTCACAAAGCACATTTATGGAAACCGAACACGGGTGGGGGCGGCCCACTGGCTCGGCCAGGCACCGCATTTCCCGATCACATGTTGGCTCGTTCTCGCTGCAGCCGCGAGTTGTAGGCGCGGGATACGGTGTTCCAGGCGTCCATGTAGCGGTCCATGCACATGGCGATGCATTTCTGGAGGCGAGGAAAGCGCAGGGATCAGCTCAGGGTTTCCCTGACCCGCGCCCCTTTCCCGGGGCAGCGGACTGCGCACGCGCAGCGGT